TATAGCATCAAGAAGATACTATGCGGACCCGCAAAAAAAAAGATACTATGCCTACCAAGCGTTTGGTAAGCTAGCAACAAAAAATCAAGGGAGGCAGTGATTCAATCCAAAGATTATGCTTACATTCATGTTGGGTAAAAACCTCCCTAGCCCACCCGCTCTAACCGCATAAAAATCACAGTGAATGATGGTTGCTACTCCATTCGATGTAGCGTAAACCAAATATGAAGCCAATGCATATGGCGGTAGAATGTTCTTTGTAGGCTGAAAGATCAAGGGTAACCTGGGATTGAGTACCTTGAAATCAAGGACAAATGCTTACTAGAAAATGGTTGTTCAAGTTGCTTGCCGGGTAAGGTGGTTGGCAAGAGTTGCCGCAAAACAAAACATTCGGCCCAAGACCATGTCCCAAGTTTCAGCAAAGATGCTGAATTCTTCGTTTTAGAAAGGTTTGATGAGGAGTGATTGACAAAAAACTACCACTTTAAAGTTTGCGTCTCACGGAACTACCACTTTAAAAAAATTGACCGAAAACTATCAATTTTTTTAATTTTATGACTAAAAACTACCACTTTCAGATAATTACCAGTTTAGACGATTTAAACATGTTTATAACAGGCAGGGCCCATCTGTCAGCGTCAACCTCCTCCTTCTTCCTCCTCTCTCTTTGTGGCATTTTTCCGAACACCTCGTGTGCACCTGCGCGCCACCTCCGCCGCCGTCCACCGGGCTCAGCGGGGTGGGCCCGGCGTCGCGGCCCCGTGCAGCAGCTGAACCCGCCCCCGTCACCTCTTGCTGCTGGCAACTACGGCTGCTGCTGCACTCGTCTCGCACGTCTGCGCTGCTGCTTTGCTCCCCTGCTCCCCTTGCCACTACGGCTGCTGCTTTGCTCCCTTGCTCCCCTTGCCGACGCATCTGCTGCTGCATCGCAGCCCGCCACCCCGCCACCCGCACGTGCCCCGCCGGCGACTGGCCGCACCTGACGAGCTGCGCCGCCGCCGCCCGCCTGCGCCTGTGCCGCAGTCGTCCCGCACCGCTCCGCCCGCGATGCTGCATGCTACTGCCGCTCCGGGCTGGCGCTGCAAGCAAGCGCCCGATGCCGGCGCTCGCCGCCGTCGCCTCGGGCCTCCAACGCCCCGCCGCACGTAACAGCCGCCCGAGTTCGGGCGAGGCCGACGCAGCTGCCCCTGCCGGATGCCGGCGTGGGGGAACTCGCGCCCGATCTCGAGCCCTTCCCGACGTAGCTGCCGCCGCCAGGTTCCTGCCGACGAGCTTGCACGCGCCGGCGCTCGTCGTCCGCCTCTCCTGTGAAGTTGACTTTGACGCCATGTCAGCGCTGACAGATGGCCCCGCCTGTCATAAACATGTTTAAATCGCCTAAACTGGTAATTATCTGAAAGTGATAGTTTTTGTCACAAAATTAGAAAAAATTGGTAGTTTTCGGTCACTTTTTTTAAAGTGGTAGTTCTGTGGGACACAAACCCCTAAGTCCTCGTTCGGTTAAGCCCAGCCCCGCGAGGTTTTGGGTCTAATCCACGCGGGTCCGCAGGGATTTCCCCCGCCGGGGAATAAACCCGGCCCATCCAGTTTTTTCCATTCGGTTAAGCCCCGTGTGGTCTTTCCCCGGCCCAAACACCTCCAAACCCACGCGGAAAAAAACATCTCCTGGCACCCCGTGGAAGCAATCCCCGAGCGAGGCGCTCGTTTCGTCTCTCCCGAGCGAGGCGACAGAAGCGGACGGCGGCGGCGGCGAGTGGACGGCGGCGGCGGCGCAACCTACGCGGAGAGGAGGGCGTCCCCCTGGTTCGATGACCTGCCACGAAGCCCTTCCTGAACCCTAGCTAACCTCCGATTGTCCCATCTCCCCCGCCGCCCCCTTGCCGCGGCCGGAACCCTAGCTCTGGAGAAGTGGTTGCTGCAGGCGACGAGATCTCTGGTTAGTTCTCTCTCCCCCTCCCCCTCCCACTGTCTCTCTCTCTCTAGCAGCACTGATTCGCCCCCTCCATGAAAACCTAGCCGGATCTTGATCTGTCTTCCCAAATGTCAAGGTCAGACTTTCTTGGGGTTTCCTAGGAACTAGCATCAATTGTTATTTAGATAGGCAATGCAGTGGTTGCTTGCTGGGTGTTGTCACTGAATATTGAAATGAGAAAGGAAGGTCAGCTAGGTTACCTATGCTGATAAGTTAATTACTCATTCATATTTTTTTTGGTTCAGTTAATTACTGAGAAGTATGTGTAGTTGCATTGGCTAAGAAATGTGTTTTACTCATTCATCAGCTAAGATCGTATATGCTGTTGTTCATTCCTGCAGTTGTCGTCAACATTTTAGTCTGTTCAAACTGCAACATGCAAATTAATTTTCAAATAGCATGTTCTTCTTTCTGAACATTAGATACTTCTGGTATGATCATTGGCAGAGTATATAAGTTGTTCTCTTCATGGCAGTGGCGAATCTAGGACGCAAATGGAGGGTAGGCTGAACTTCAAATACGTTAATTTTTGTTGGAGGCAGTGCAGTGTGATGCAATAAGATGGCTGGAAGTTTTTATTTTCTAGGCTAGGCCTAACTAGTGCGCTTAGTAGTAATTTTTTTGGCGATTTTTTAGGGCAGGCTTGAGCCTGTTCAAGCCTGTTGAGTAGAATCGGCACTGCTTCATGGTGTGTAATCATCATCTGTTCTTGATTCTTGTTCTTGATTATCTAAATATACATAGTGCAGTTTGTGTACATAACGAAAATATAGCTAATTCCGTATTTTGTCTCCATTTTCTATAGGCTAGCTTCGTCGCCAAGACCCTGAATTGGGCAGCATCGTGAAGGACAAGGTAGATTAATCATGTTGTTTTAATCTTCTCCTTATTCATATTACTGTTGATTATTATTGCTTGGTCAATAGATCTGTGTTACAAACTGTTTTCTTGGTAAGCTGAGAGCTATGTTAATATCTGACATTACTAGACGTTGTAGTTGTTGAAGAATTTGAGCTGAAGTGCTACCTCCTTCCTATTGACATTACTAGACATTGCAGTTGTCCTTTTTTCCACTGTTGTCCTTTCTGTTAGATGATGTTCAGATGCCGGACATATGAACTGTTTGTTTGTACAACTTGCACTCTTACTGTTTAGGTGTAGTAGTAATAACTAGCGGTATTTTTCTTCTTTAGACTTGGAATGGATCCGGAAATGAGGGATCGTGTTAGGAAGAGGGAGGAGGAGGATGACGAAATGATGTTATTTGTTTTCCCTGCACTACATTTGATAGAGACCGATGGAGTTGCTCTTAGGGAGCGGTGGATTCCACGCCATACATCATCGCTAACAGGCGAGATGTTTGTTAAGGAGTTACTCGAAGGGCACGTCAAAAACTGTCGGGTAGCATTTAGGATGGAGCCGCATATCTTCAAATCTTTAGCTAATTATCTTCGAAGGGAGAAGTTGGTGAAAGATACCAGAATTAAAGTCGAAGAGAAACTAGCATCATTTTTGTGGATGTTGTCCCATAATTCTTCATTTGAAGACCTTCAAGTTCGGTTTGGTCACAGCGGGGATACTTTCCATTGGGAAATGAAGAATTTCTTTGACATCATCCCTATTCTCTCCAAGCATTTTTTGAAGCCTCCAAATCCCAGTCAAGTGCATCCGAAGATTCAGTCGGACACGAGATTCTTTCCTTATTTTCAGGTTTTTGCTTCGCCAACTTTGATCCACATCAATAACTTACTATTCATGTTATAGGTGCTAAGTTATAGTATTTCGTTGCAGAACTGCATTGGGGCAATTGATGGGACACATGTTCCCATAACAATTTCAGGAGAAAAGGCCGCACCATTCAGAAATAGGAAAGGGACCCTAAGCCATAATGTTATGGTCGTGTGCGACTTCGACCTGAACTTCACCTTCATTTCTTATGGCTGGGAGGGATCTGCTACTGATGCTAAAGTTCTTCGGTCAGCACTTAACAGCGGGTTTCATGTACCTCCGGGCAAGTTTTATCTGGTTGATGGTGGTTATGCCAACACACCTTACTTCTTGGCACCGTATCGTGGTGTTCGGTACCATTTGAAGGAGTTTGCGCGCGGTCGTCGTCGACCCCAAAATCACAGGGAGCTATTCAATCTCCAGCATGTCGTGTTACGAAATCACATCGAACGGGGATTAGGAATCTTGAAGAAGCGGTTCCCAATCCTAAAAGTGGGCACGCATCATCGAATAGAGAACCAAGTCAAGCTACCAGCAGCGGCGGCAATCTTACATAACATCATCCGATCTGAAAGAGGAGATGAGCGTTGGTTAGATAACCAACCAAACAATATACCTGTCATGAATTTTGTGGATCTTCCTGACGGTGATATTCCTCAAAATCATCAAATCAACCATGAAGGCGACAACCTTAGAGATGCCATTGCTCATCAAATGTGGGCTGATTATCAACATGCATAACTTGTCATTTGTAGTGTAGTAGTAATAAGTTTAGTGTAGAAGTTTATGTTTTTTTTCTGTTGTTCATGTCATGAATATTGTTCAGAAGTCACTATGATGACTGCTCGAGGGTCACCAAGGTTGAGCCTCCTCAAAAAAGCCGTCGAAAGGGATAGAGCATCACCTCCTACAGGCAGTGTGACAAAGAGGAGGAGAGGGTCTCCCAAAGGTAATAAACTAGCCGTGACTTTATTTCTCTAGTCGGGACTTTATTTTCTTAAAACCAAAATAGTTAAGATAGAAAAAGGTACATTAACATGCAATGTGGAAATGCAGAAGACAGAGCGCAATGGAATGCAAGCCTTGAGAAAGATCTTGTGGACTTGCTTCGTGAGCATGATACACCTGAACATAAGGGTCAAAATGGATGGAGCTCTGAAGCATGGAATACGATAGTGAAGAAATTCCACCAAAAGAATCCTTATGCTAGGTATGAGAAGAAGAAAATCCAAGAAAAGGAGAAAGAGTTAAAAAGAGAATACAAGATGATCAAAGAGATAAGGAAGCAAAGCGGCGTTTCATGGGACGACCAGCAGTGCAAGATTCTAGCGGATCCACCACTTTGGAAAACATCATCATAGTAAGAATGCCATTGTTATTCCCTAAAAGTTTCATTCTTGTTGCATGCTCTAATATCATTTTCTTGTCAACTATGTAGTCACACCCTAAAGCTGGAAAGTTCAAGACAAAGGCCTTCCCTCTTTTTGAAGCTTTGGGAGAATTGCATGATGGTTAGTTATCAACTTCATTATATACTCATGTCATTGTTTTATGTTTGTTTACTCTTCTAGTTTGAAATCTTATACTTGATTGTCACTTTAACTTGTAGGCCAAACTGCAGAAGGGACATATAACTTCACCTCTATCGAGTCATCACATTGCTCAACCCAATCACAACTCGAGAATCTTGGAGGAGCTGGCGAGAATCAAGGAGAAACATCAGCTGATGGTGAGAATCTTGGAGGAGAAAGGGTGCAGATTGATGAAGATGTTGAGGAGGTGTATGTGCAAGAAAACATTACTGTGGAGCCCCAGCAAACTCAACCAAATTTGGCTACTGTACCCTCAAGAAATGGAGAAGAGAAAGAACCAAAGAGACGGAGGGGGGCGAATGGTGATGTGGCTGCGATGATGGAGAAGTACCTGGAAATAAGGGCGAAGCAGGTGGAGGATGAGAGGAATAAGCCAAGGGTTGTGGATGAGTACTCTATCAAAAACTGCATTGATCTGCTCAAAACAATGGACATCACACCTGAAGAAGAAGTCAAGGCCTTCCGAGTCTTCAAGATCCCTGAGAACCGAGAGATTTTCATGAGTGCCAGACCGGAGACTGCACTTATGTGGCTGAGAGCTGAAATGGAATAACTCAGGTACTCAAATTCTGCTTCTATTTAATATGCATGTTGCTAGCATGTAGTTTTGATGTACAACCTTGGTTTTCATGGTACCCCTACTGGGACTCGCATGTTCATCTAGATCACATGAACCTGCCTTGTTCATCTAGTAACCTGAAGCTGATGGTTCAACTAGCTCACATCAAAAGGTCCATTTCTTATTCTGGTTGTTGATGATAATAAAAACAAAGTTATATAACTACTGCAACTTGTTAACAGCTGTTCCTTTTAACAATGGTTGTTGATGCCCCTCATCGTGCTGTTGCTGTTTGATAACTTAGCAAAGACTCCAATTTTATGTGCCTGGATCAATCCATGTGTTTAAGTTTTTACCATATAGTTGTGATCCGTTTGGTGCATATGGATACGATGTTGCTGTCCATTTGATATCTCTTTGCTAGCTGGTCAATATATATCTTGTTAGTATTTCTTTGCTCACTTGATTGTTGATTGCCAAAAGTAAGACATCTCATATTTATTTCTTTGTTCATGTATACTGCTCTCATATTAGTCCTTTTATATGAACTAACTGCCTTCATTGCCAATGCAGTGTATCGATCGCTACGGAAGCGACATCGGCGAGATAAATTATGTAACATCTGTATTATATCTTGCATGATTTTCCAGAGATGCTAAACCATATTCTGAAAGTGACCGATTCCAGTTTGGGACAACTGAGAATTTTTGAATTATTTTGCTGCCTATTTGAGATAAATTATGTAACATCTGTATTATATCTTCATCGATTTTACTGTTTATTTGAGATAAATAAATTATGTAACATCTGTATATCTTATACAGTTTCTTCTCTTATGTTTTGTAATATTTTCTTACTGCAAAAAAGCATGTAGGCTGTGTGGTCTTTTAATTCTATGGAACAACGTTGTCTTTGTGTATGGATTAGCAGGGGAGCAACCAACCGAACAGGTTATGCACACAGGGATTTCATATGGACGGGGAATGGTGGGGGTCGGGTGACAAGACGGGGATCATCAAATCCCTGGGAGGTTAGAAACCACACGTGGAATCTACCATGAGGCAACCGAACAAAGCCTAAGGCTTTGTTCGGTTAATCCCATCCCCAAGTGGATTGGGGGGGATTTGCAGGAATTTTGGCCTGTAGGGGATTAATTCCCCCTCAATCCCCTTCAATTCCACCTCAACCGAGCAAGCCCTAACGTGGTAGTTTTTTGTCAATCACTCGTTTGATGAGAGTTAAGGTTGAAATCTTTCGAGATGTTCTTTCTCGGTGGGCAATAACCTCAACACAAGATTTTGGAAAGACGCCTAGTTTGGAGGGACGCGGCTCGTCTGCAGTGCCTTCACGCACGGCAGAACTGCCGTACGGGCCAAAATCAACCATTCATTCACTTTCCATCCCATCCAACAGACTTCTGCTACCGAGCGAGAACTGCTAATAAACTAGGCGCCAAAATCACGTCTGACGCGCCAAAAATTTCCGCGCCGCGTACCAAGGTGAGCTGCTCATCGCCGCGTAGAACCAAGTTCGTGTTAAGCTCCTGCCGCTGCCGCCGCGTCAAATTCAACGGATCTGCGGCGGCTGCGTCACCCGTCGAGCAGCGGCCGCCGCGTTGCCCGTCGAGCAGCCGCCGCTGCCGCGTCGAATTCAAACGGCACGTACACGTTGCGATCTAAGACAAGGAGTCACGTTTGATCTCCATAGGTAAAACCCAAAAGTCATCATCGAACCCCTAATCTGAATACGTGAGTGAGATGCAGTATAAATACTACAGTTCTATTTTTAAGTTATTTATTTATGCCCAGCGTACACTAATTTCAGTACTCTGTTAGTAGAGTGCACTTCAGTTTTCCTGAGAAAACTGAAAACTGCTATATTCAGATTGTGCTTGGCACGGCTGTACCTGCAAATTTTGGTTCCTTGCATGGCTGTACCTTAGAGACCACTAGCAAACTTGGGGCACTTCAGACTTCAGAGGACCAGATAGAGGATGGGATGCGATGCAACTGCGGCATCTCAACCGACATGGCGGCGACAGTGGCTCGATGGTAACGCAGCAGCTGCAGCTCGACGGTGACGACGCGGAGGCGGCTCCGTTGGACGTAACGTGGCGGTGACGACGGCGGCGGCAGCTTGACGGCAACGAAACTGCTGCAGCTCAATAGCAACGAGGGCACAGCGGCTCGACGATCCGCTACTTTCTGATCCATGCAGTACGCCTCTCTCTAATTTTTGGCGCGAGAAGATTCAGAGTATAGAGAAACAAGAAGTTCGTTGGACCCTCCTGTTCGTTTGTTGGTGAGTAGCAGAAGTCCGTTGGATGGGATGGAAAGTGAATGAATGGTTGATTTTGGCCCGTACGGCAGTTCTGCCGTGCGTGAAGGCACTGCAGACGAGCCGCGTCCAGTTTGGAGATGCACCGTTTGCCCTCCAATACCTGAGCCTTTTACACTTCTCTATTACACTTCTGCTTCGGTACACCCCCCTAAACATAAGGACGGCTCAGATTAGCCCATACCTCTTCATAAGTAAGGGCATGATAGTCAAACTCTTCACATATACGCTGTTTTTTAGAATCACGTATACGCCGTACGTGAACGGACGTGCACACCCTGCAGTCCTGGGCTGGCCCATTCAGCACATTCATCCTTTTTCTTGAAACCGCTATAAAAAGAGGTGCGCGCTGCAGGATTCGATCTTAGGTCCTTCAACAATTCGCACAGCCGCAATGACCAGCTAGACAGCAGGACCTCAAGTGTTACATAAGTTTTCTCACACTTGAAATACAATACTGGAAAGCACAACATTTTCTGTTTGTTTTTCCTTTTCTTTTTTGTTTCTTAAATACGTGAACTTTTTATAATTCTTAAAAATAGAAAAGAAAATAAAACGCTTAGGCCTTGGCCCAACTAGGCGGCGACATTGCTCTCGTCGGGCGCGTGTTGGGCCGGTCCAAGAGCTCGCGGATTTGAAAAAGTTCATCAGTTGTTTTAAAAATATTCATGGATTTAAAATTTTCACAAAAATTCAAAAAGAAAGTTCACTAAGGAAATTTGCAAAAAACTTTCTCGGTTTTGGGAACCTCGGCTTCCTAGCCATTTTTTCCTGTTTTGGGACCTTCTGGTAGGTAGTGAACCGTCTTTTTCTTTTTCTTTTTCTTTTTATTATGTTTATTATTGTTTCTATTTCTCATTATATATTTTTTTAGAATTCAAATTTTGTTCGTATTTTTCTGTTTTGTTGGAATTCCAAATTTGTTACTGTTTTTCAAAAAATGTTAGTGTTCAAACTTTTGTTATTTTCCAAAATACTGTTCGTATTTTGACATTCTGGGCAAGTATGAAAAGCATGAACATTTTTTTTGAAATTTATGTACAATTTTTAAAAATACAAATATTAGTTTTTTATGAACAAAACAGGAAAACTAGAAATCCTAAAGAAAACAGTGCAAAAAAAAGAAACATAAACTAAAGAGTGAAGGTGTTGTGTTTTTTTCTTCGCGTTATGTCTCCCAGACAAGAAGAAGAAGACAAGGCTGTTAACCAAATCAGATATGCTATCCTAGATGGTTTGTGCGCTTACACGTAGTGCGGGAGGGCAGAGCTCGAATCCAGCCAAGGACATCCATTTTTTTGACGATTAAAACTGAAAAACGTATACATATAATCCAGACGATCCAACACAAGTTACAAGTATTATACAAACCGGTGATTTTCCAAAAGCATAGTGGGTGATACATATAGATGGTATCGTCGGGTATTATACGAACCTACAGCGTATACGTTCTATGTAGAAAAGTGAATACAATTTGTGAAAAGTTCATACTATCCTTTATACGTTTTGTGAAGGGGGGTGTACCGAAGCACTTCTCTTTATATTATCGTGCAACGGAAAGACGTTTTAGGTTGTTTCGAGTTAGGGTCAAGCCTGGGAGTGAATGACAATTTTGCATCTGATCCATAGGTTGATTTTGAGCAAAACAGAAAGCCGGCAGGAAACAAATAAGCAGTCGTGATCTCATCTCCCGTGGAAGGAGCTTACGAAGATGCCAGCTTCCTTAACTGTGGCACACGCAGTACAAAAGACAAAAGACGGCGCAGACAACGATGATCTCTTGGTTATACACAAAGCCGAGCTTTGTTCAACTTCCAACTGCTTCAAGGATGATCACATAATGGTAGCAGACGAAATGAATCAATTAATTGAATGCAGTTATGTTTATGTACGGAGAAAATCAACATGTGTGCCCCCAAACAAGCCCCTGCATCTGTATATGACTATCACCTCTACCTCTACAAGATACAAAAGAGAGAGAAAGAAAATAATAAGAGGTGTGTCCGTCCGGTATTCTCCTCCTGTTTGTTCCTTCATCAGATAATACGCCAAATCATCTCTTCTCTTGACATCTCCCACCCAATCGTGTTGCGGTCTGATCTCACACTCGGGGAGCCTTCAGGCAGCTATATATGATCTGCACTGTCTACATCTATACCCGGACAGAACCTCTTGACTCTGAATACTTGTTAGGACCTCGTCAGAATGAGGCGCTCCAGATCGCTTCGTCTCCTTCGCCGCACCTCATGTGCACGTCCTTGAGCCGCTCGACTGGGTTGCAGACCCCGCTGCACCTCCAGTCAAACGACGCAACGCATGCGTTCCCCGCCTGGGCCTTCCACTCGCAGTCTGATACCGAAGACGTTCCACAAATGAAATGTTAGTGCCAAATCTTCAGGGACGGTGCATGGTGTAGATAATAACAACTGAAAGGAACTGACCTGGTGGCGTTCCGCAGCACATGTCCCTGTCGTCGATGTGCTCCACATCTAGCCCGATGAACCATGCTCCCAGCGACACATCTTCGTTCGCGAATTTGTGCAGAAGGGGGCTGGGTGATACGACGAAAACACGGCGGCGTCAGTTGCTAGTCATCAAATGGAAATGTTGCCTGAATGATCATTGCCTGCTCTATAGTCTTACTTGTTGACTGAGATGTAGGTGGCGAGGTCCTTTGAGATGGCGTATATCTGCCCGGTCGCGTGCCGGAAGTACTTGTTCCCGTCTTCTCCGAACTTCCAGAACTCGGGCTCGTGGTATTTCGAACTTCTGAACAAGTGCAGTGATATTCAGTACTTATAAAATAGTAGGATGCACTGATACTTCGACTGTAATAGCTAGATAGTGTTTTCAGAAGGTTTACTTGTCGGAAAGAACCGGTCCAGACTTCATACAGCCAATGTAGACACGGGGTTTCAATTTGTGCCGCCCGAGGGTTGTGAGGAGCATTCCTGTACAAAATACATCACTTAGTTCTCTCCAATATTATTGGGATTTCATAAGGTATATTTATATGTAACAACAGCATACCTAGGTTGACATGGACATCGTCATCCACCTTGACATAAAAATCAGCATCCCATGAGGCCACAGCAGTGGAGAAGAATGTCTTGGTCTTTGCAGATAGCTTGTGGTAACCTTCAACATGGTCCTACACGCGCGGATGGATGTCAGAATAAGAAAAAAAAATTGAGAATTATATCCAAATTAACTTCAGTGTTGAACTGTTGACACCTCAAATCAATGATGTCAAGAAGATTTGGCTGATTGTGGTTTAACAGAAAGGGGAAAGAAATGATGCAATTCAGTGTTTGGTGGGTAACGCCATACCAGCCTAAGAAAGTCATGATGAATAGCATCTTCCACGTCTATCGCCTGATCAAGGGCGCTGTTCGATGCCGGGCTGTAAAGCATAAACACAGGTTACTACATTTAGACTTATCGAAATATATATAAGATCCTCTGCCAAGGATTCCTAATACTAAAAAGAAAAGGCTGCAGCACAGTTTGTGTTCTGAAAAAATAGTAATACAATCTACTGAAGTTTGAGTGAAATCTGTCTTTTGGAGTGAATAACTACAGAAACCTCTGAAAATCAAAACAGAACAAGAAACTGAGGCTTTGCGGAATCCTTTTCTTGGGTAAAATATGTAAGCTTTCCATGGAGATATTTACAATATATCTGTTCTATGTTACGATTTTCCTTTTACGGAACCTCATCTTACGAAAATTTTGCAACAAGTTATAAAATATTGTGTCGGTAACCTTACCTATGACCGATCATGAATCGAATGACGACTCCCTTTTCCTCTTCCAATTTCTTGAGTTTCTCACCTGATAAATAACGAAGAGATATGTGTGGTGAAATAACTGTCAGCCAACTAAATGATCCACCCCAATCTAAATAGCTCAACTCTTAGCAGAAAGTACACAGGCAACAAACTGTATGAGCTATGATGATAAATAAACCTGTTTGATTAATCTAGTTGTTACGTTGATAAATGATCACGTTTAATTGATTCTATTTGCTATGATGATAGATGATCCTATTTGATCCCTTGATTCTGTACTTGCACCATTTCTATGTAATTTCCTCACTAGCTGCACACCACCATCCAATTTGATTAAATACACATTCCTCTGCATCGGTTGTAACTAAGAACAAGAAATCCAGCAAGCAACAGCTAGGCCAAAACAAGGGAGACAATCAGGTAGCATTGCAAAGTAATGAACCTTGAGGCATCCAGGTCTCCCTGACAGAATCCCGGCGCTTCTTGCTACTGAAGGCGGTGTTGATCCCGATCACCACAAAAGCCTTTTTCCTGTCCTGCCTCACGCCATCCGCACTCTCAAGCAGCTCATGCTTGCTGCGCCGCGCTGCCAGCTCCATCTGTAGCGTGGCAATCGACTTGTCTAAATATCTAGACACAAAATGATATAATCCGTATTAGTCCCCTAATAAAAACATAAAAATGTAGAGAGTTTCGGAACAATTTTCAGGACTGATGTCAACTTACTGTATGGCCTCATGAGTCTTGGCCACTTCTCCCATGACGTCCCTGTCGTCAGATGGTTTCTGAAAGAAAGAAAGAAAGAAATGAAGGTGTTCACAGAATTTACATATCAAAGGGGAAACTGAAGAATATCAGGATTTTCTCATTTAAATATCCATTTTCACTTGCAACTATTTCTTGTAAAAAAAAATAACCTTATTTATCTTATGTTGATAAACCTTGTTTATTCTTTTTTTCTGAAGTAAACCAGGTGCCAAAAACAGATAATCCCTATCAAAGTATCAATGGGTGTTTACAGCCGTTTCTGCATTGCTAAAATTATTGATGATGCCAAAGTTTACAAACATGAAGTAGTACTAGTACTTTTTAAAATGCAACCAAGCATAAGTTCCATCAACATAAATAAGTACTAGAAGAGGTTCATTGATTAGTCAGCCGCCCTAACGTACCGTCTTGGCAACAAAATCTTCAGAAACGATCTGCAGCTCCTCTTCCTGGCGCCGCCGCTGCGCCACCACCGGGCTCTTCAAGTCCGGCATCGCTCCGAACCTACGCCATAGAACACGCATCAGCCGCAGACCTAAGGCGAGCAGGGCACCGCGTCGCGCAACCGGCGAGCAGATGCATCCAAGAAACCCGCCAGGAAGCGAGCCCACGGCGGGTCAGGCGAGAAAACCAATCTAGGGGGTGGAGGAGAGGAGAGGGGCTCACCGGTCGGTGAAGAGCATGCCGAGGCCGAAGCTGCAGGCGCAGAGGAGCAGTATGGTCCTCGACAGCACCGGCCTCCTCTCCCCGGCGGCGGCGCCGCTCTTGGCCTTCATCTTCCTCCCGGCCACCTCCGTTCTCCCAACTCTCTCCGTGACTGCGTGTCGCCTGGGGCTGGTCTGGTCCGGGGAACGCGTCGCGCCCTGCTGTGCTGTGCTGTGCCGGGAGCCAGGAGGTGAGGCCGGCCTTTATGAAGGTTCGAAGTAACCGAAGCCGGGGGAGGGAAACACAAAGGCGGAGAAGAAGAAGAAGACTAGTTTAATCTTTTAATGGCCGGAGTTCAGAAAAGAAAAGAAAAATGCTGCGTTCACAAGGCTGGGCTGTGAACGGGGGTCAGAGTGCGGCTGTTTTTTCTTTTCTCAGGGACAGTGACAACGCGAGGCGATTGTCACGTTCGTCTTGCAATTGTTAGGGTGATAATCGCCGTCACGAACACCTGCGGCCCTGCACCGGCTCGAGTCAATTCATTTTCACATAAACAAATTACTTTTCCTTGTTCTTGAGAAAAAAAAACCGTTGAACATACATAGACCCAATTTTTTTCTTTCATGAATTTCATAGTAATTACAGAAATCCATGTCCTGCCGAGACAAAATTTAGAACTTACCATCTTTTTGGCTGATAGGCAAAAAATGACCTCTGGAAGGGACGCGGATTAATTGAGCTCGAGCTCCAGAATTTGTGAAAAAAAACAAATCTAAATATTTTTGTTGCAAACTTTGACAAAAGTTTTCGATGCTTGTAAAGTTTCATCATGAGTGATGGTACATATGTTTCCATTACTTCCACGAATGTCATTTCAGAATAAAACTTTGTAAGCATTGAAAACATTGGCCAAAGTTTGCCCAAAAAAAGCATTTTCTTTTTGGATTTTACTGTTCAACGAAGCTCATATGAGCTCGAGCTGAGCTGAGAAGGACTGGATACTACTATAAATGTTATCGATCAACTCTGGTCTTCAGTGACCGAGAATCGGTGCCACCATATTAGAGACATGTACCCCCATGGTGAACCATCTTGAAATCATTCGAATCGTTTGAATATTAGACGCATGTGGTGCATTAATAATTGTTCAAGATACCACTGATGAGTCCTTTGCCGAAATAAATGTGATGACCTTTAAAATCAGGTACATGTTGAAATAAAATATAGCACCATCGAGACGGCATTGCCATGTCTAACAAGTGCGTCGAAACATAGGAATCCGTTATTTACATTGTTTGGTTGTACTTCAAAAAAACAGGGGTTTGCCGTAGAGACCGAGTGTGTAATTATTGTCACAGACAACTGATTTTCTTTTCAATAAGTTAGATCTCTTATTAGTAGAACTCCAATCGAGTTATACTCCATTCGTCCCACAATGTAAGACGTTTTTTGACACTACACTAAAGTCAAAAAACGTCTTACGTTATGGGACAGAGGGAGTAGTAGTGTAGAAAGACAATCCATAGAATTTAGAAGGATCCATTCGTACAATACATAGAAATTTAGAAGGATCCATTCGTACAATATATAGAAATTTAGAAGGATCCATTCGTACAATACATAGAAATTTAGAAGGATCCGTTCGTACAATCCATAGAAATTTAGAAGGATCCAATCGTACAATCCATAAAAACGAGTCAAAATCGCCAGCTTCAGTAGTAGTATTTTGCAATCGCCCCGTGCCAGCCAGCCAGCCAGCGTAGCAACGATGGGCGGAAAACTAAACGCACAAATCGCCGGCGCGGTCGACCGGTCGTGTCGTGTGGGTATATGTGATCTGTACATCCACGATCCATCGCTCCGGCGGCAGGCCGCGTTGGCACCGAGGATCGGATCCCGGGCGCCACACGTCGCTGCCGCCCGGCGGACTTGCCGGGGGGTCCGTATCACGTTCGAGTATGTGGGTGGGGTGGGGGGCACGCGACGACGCGAGGCCGTGTGGCGCCCGGTGCGCGCCTCGCTCGTCTCCCGAGTCAACGCGGCACCCGGTGCGTCTCCGCGCGCACCCACCACCACGGCCAGCCGCCGGCGACGGCGACGGCGTTTCCTCGTTACATTACCTTTTCTCACCGCCTATGGCTGACGTGCTGCTGGCAGACTGCTCAGTGCTCATCATTAGCGGACGTTCCGCCGGGAAAAATGAGAGGATAATCTGGGAGCACTGATGACAATCTTTCGAGGTCGTTTTCGGCACTCTTCCGTTCCTTGGGCATGGAAGTCGTTAAGCACAAACGAATGGTCGGCACTTCCAAGAGCGCGACGTCGACGCGTATCGGTCCCGGTCCGGATTAATCGGTTATTATGCCCTGCGCTTTGGGGAAAGCGATGAGGCTGGTGGTCTGGTCCGATCAGGGGCTGACAGCGGAGTCCTCGCCGTCTCCTCTGTTCTCGGCATATTTTAGGGCCTCACGTCGGAGGAGAGGAGGGCACCAAGCAGTGATCGGAGTAGCCCGGGCGTCACGTCGCGGGCGCAGGGGCGGGGGTTCTGCGGCGCGTTACGAGTTCGCCCGCGCGATTACGTGTACGCGAGGGCGCACCAGGCGCGCACGTCGGCCGTGGGGCGCCCGTCACGCTGTCTATCTCTATCTGCTGGATCGCCGTCGTTTTATCGACGCCCTTGGTAGACAGACAGACTGCTCATCATCACCAACAGGGGAAAAAAAGGACACGATTTTGGATCACCTGGTCCGGTTAGTCGGTTATTATGCCCTGCGCTTTGGGGAGAGCGATGAGGCTGGTGGTCTGGTCCGATCAGGGGCTGCCAGCGGAGTCCTCGCCGTCTCCTCTGTTCTCGGCATATTTTAGGGCCTCACGTCGGAGGAGAGGAGTGCGCCGAGGATCGGATCGGAGTAGCCCGGGCGTCACGTCGCGGGCGCACTGCGGCGCGTTACGAGTTCACCCGCACCAGGCACGCACGTCGTCAGGCCGTGGGGCGCCCGTCACGCTATCTATCCCTATCTGTAGTACTCCGGCAGCGCGCCCCAGCCGCCGGCGACGGCAAAGCGCGGCGCGTTTGCCTGTCCAGTCAGCATGCACGATCTCCGTTATTTTGTCGACGCCCTTGGTAGACAGACTGCTCTGCTCATCATCACTAGCGGGGAAAAAAGGGGGACGATTTTGGATGGGCAGTGATCTGCGCCGGTGCGCCGGCCCAACTGTTGGGCCGGTCGTATCTGGAACGTTAGTTTGTCTTTTGCACACCGTCAAATTCAGCCTTTGAATCGTTTTTTTTTCAATAGAAAATCATGTCCAATCCAAAAGAGCTATTCGTCCTGGACACCCCGCCATGGACTCTCCAGGGGCTGACCTTGAAGCATCACCGGCTCGCCGCCGGTCGCCGTCCTCGCCCTCGGTCGCTGATCGCCGGTCGCCGGTCACCGTCCACATCGCCGTCGGTCGCCGTCCTCGCCGCCGGTCGCCGTCCATCTTAGTCGTCGCCGTCGTAGCACCGCCATGCCGTCGGCTGCAGCTCCCAGTGTCGCCGGGAGCCACCATGCCATGGTTGAAGCTTTTTGCGTCATGGCCGGTCCCAAATTCCATTACCTTCAATTGAAGCTTCCTAGGACGTTGGTTGTAGCAAGTGATTCCAGCAAAAAAAATGATCCAACAAAAATATCAAAAATGGGGTAGTAGCAAAAACAAAAGATGGTGGTAGCAAAATACAAAGACCATGGTAGCAAAACTTAAAGTGGTTCCAGCAAAAATAAGATGGATCCAACAAAAAGTCAAAAACAGGGTGGTAGCAAAAACTAAGACGGCAGAAGCAAATTTCAAAGACCATGGTAACAAAAAGTTAGAGTGGTTCCAGCAAAAAGATGGATCTAATTAAGGAAAAAAGTATCAAAAAGACGGACTGCACGGTAGTAGCAAAAAACAAAATGATGATAGCAAAGTTTTCGACTGGTTGCAGCAAAAGGCACTCAAACAAGGTGGATCCCAGGAAAAAATGCCGCTGATTCTAGCAAAACAAGAAGCCAGATGTAGCAAAAAATACCACCGATTGAAGCTCCCGCCGACACCGATTCCAGCATCTCGTCCGCTCGTGCACAACGTAGTCGTCGTTCCCGCACGGGTGGAGCACGACGACGCTCGCCGGAGCGGCATGGCGACGGGTCGAGGACGAGGCTCTCGCCAGAGCAGCGTGGGGGCAGGTCAAAAGGCTGAAGAAATGTGGAGGTAGGTAGATGCAGCCCCTTGTTAGAGCAGCACGGGGGCAGGTGGAGGCGAGGAGGTCGCCGGAGCAGCGCAGGGCGAGGTGGATGCAGCCGCTCGCCGAAAATGCACGGGGCAAATGGAGGCGGACGTCATCGGAGCAAAGCAGGTCATGGTTGATTTGGGGGAAAACTGAGCGAAAGGGATAAGGGAGGAGGAAGATGGATGTGGTTTGCAGGGCCAATAAATGACGCGTGGGGAGTGGACATGGCTGGCTCATACGGAGTAGGATCCAACGTGGCGCATGAGCCGGCCGAAAGTTCGGCCGGCGCACCAAACAGGAACGTTTCCCATTTTGGATCACCTGGCCGAAAAATCCACTCTATACATACGACGGATTTCCCGTGACGGTACTTACACTTGTACTAGTACTAGTTGCTCTCCGAGTAGTTTCGCTTCCTCTTTCCTCTAGATGGAAGTTGGTTAGGAAGAAACAAATGCGGTTGGCACTACCAAAGCAACGCGATGTCCCGGTCCCAGAATCATGAGCTTTGGGGAAAGCGACCAAGCTGGATCCGATCAGGGCTGCAGCGCAAACAAAGCACACGAGACGCCACGGACGGAACGGCGCTGGTGACATCACCGGGACGAGCGGGGAAACGCGACGATGATCTATCGGTCGATGAAGGCGACACGTGGGTCCTCGTCTTCTCCTCCGCTATCCTCGGCATATTTTAGGGCCAAGGGTCAGCCTGCCGCGCGATCCCGAAGAGCTAGCTGCACGCGCACCACTGAGCCGTGGTCTCGTCCGGCAGGGTGGGCGGCAGCCAGGCCCCACGCAATCTAACCTAATCTAATCTAAACAAGGTGCCAGGCTAACTGCAAAATCTACTACGTACTGCTGTCCAACGAGTCCGAAATGCAAATTTAACACCACCTCACAGTCACACCGACGTCACACGATCTAGATCGACTGACAAATTTTGTTTACGGGCACCAAAAGAATCAGCCTGCAACGGCATCTGGATTTAAGGAGCGATGCATTGCCCGAAAAAGAACCCAGTGTGACATTATGCTGGTCTACTGTCTTGCGATCACCAAGAAACAAGAATCTGCGAGCAATCGCCCATCAGCAGCTTTAATGAATGGAGTCAACTGAATTTTCATATGGAGGTTCGACAGTAATAACGACTTGCTGCAGGCAGCTCGTGATCCAATCTCAATGCTAGCCTCTCGAGCCACCAAGCACCACAAGCTCACAACAAATTAGGATAAACACGCACGTAGGTACGTAGTACTGATGCTAGGGGTCCATTTCAGGAAGCGGTCAGCTATGCACACACGGACACCAAGTAATCCCGCCCTGGAATGAACATATTTTTTTACACAGGACCACACACGGGTATAGACTAGACGTCTGTCTTCGCGAGATTTTTGACCCTTAATCCTCGGTGTGGCACGTCCAGTATGTCAACCCGCTGCAAAGAAGATGCGACGTCAGGACAAAGTACTGGCCAAGTGAGCGAATTAGGGAGCGAGAGACGAAGTTGATGAAGCATGCGGATATACCTTATCAACACGAAAACACATTGCAGAACGCCGGCAACACCAGTCCACACAGAAGGGCCCTTGTCTGTCAGGGCGTCTTGCACCAACAAACCCACCGATCCAGCCAGGCAGACGAAAGAGACGACGTAGGCGACGAAAAGCCAAAGCTTCACCCTGCGTATTAACAAGCCCATGTCAGAATAATACAATGTAGTATCTCAGGTGAGAATCCTTCTTGCAGAGTAAATCCCATTACGCTTAAACAACCCCAGGGGAAGCCCAACTACAGGCCTTCATCACCAGTAAAGATATACTGATTGGGTGGTAAGATCCATAGTCGAGAGGGAAACAGCCCAGATCGTACACTAAGCAATCACTTGGTGGAAAAGGTAGTGGTCAAGCATCATTGGTCTACTATACTCTTATGGAAGTCACAAAGAGGGAGAATGAATGTGACGATGCAATCACATAGTACAATGCTAGCAACTACGACGTTCTTTCAATCAAAAGCATTTCATCAGTTTGAGATAGCATCTATGCAACGAGTTTGAGATTTTGCACAACATAAATGAATAGATGATCCATAAAATGAAAACCCTTAACCCTGCACTTGGAACCTAAACAAGTAAATCTTCAACATTCCAGGTTTGCCTAGACTTTGCCTACATTTAAAGATTCATCTTGTTGCAAGATATCCGTGTGGCGTCATCCCACTTAGTGATTATATTTCCACTTATGTTGACAGTGTAATGTTCCTAGTTGCTTTGTTCCTCTAGGGGCTCAACCCCATGTCGTAAATATCCGTGTGGCTTCATCTGCTAAGGCCTAGGATCCCACTTACTGATTATATTTCCACTTATGTTGACAGTGTAATGTTCCTCTAGGGGCTCAACCCCATGTCGTATATCATACCACAGTAGGAGAGGCTCCTACTGTTTTTCTGCTTAAAAAACCATGTGCCTTCTTTCCAATTTCTTGAAGCAGTTTTAGCTAATCCTTGCATTGGCTTTGTTATGGCCTAATTTAGCTTAAAATATTTGCAGAATGCGCAGCACATCAATTGAGGAAAATTAAACGCACTCCTTTGTCTCCAACATATAAAATGTTATACAAAGAGATTAGTTTCAGAAGGGGAGCCTTGGCGCAGTGGTAAAGCTGCTGCCTTGTGACCATGAGGTCATGGGTTCAAGTCCTGGAAACAGCCTCTTACAGAAATGTAGGGAAAGGCTGCGTACTATAGACCCAAAGTGGTCGGACCCTTCCCTGGACCCTGCGCAAGCGGGAGCTACATGCACCAGGTTGCCCTTTTTAAAGAGATTAGTTTCAATATATCGAAAACCTAGAGCCATAAAAATAACTTAATCAAGCACGCTAACTCTGATTTTCGTCAGGTTGCAACCATAGGTTTGGAATAAATTATTCTGATCTTTCCCTATGAATATTTACAAACATAACTACATAGAAACTAACCACAATAAAATCAAAATGTGATACACAGGTCTAAAATTTCAGAAAAAAGGGCTTGACAACAATTGGCATGCAGATTTAATAAGCCAAATCTGACAACAATTGGCATGCAGATTTAATAAGCCAAATCTGGCAGGACTATAGAACAGCCAAAGGGTGAAGTAGACACTTGAAGTCCTAACTTTCCACATCTACCAACAACAATTTTATGCACGCATGGTATTTAGAAGAAAATAGGTGAAACTGCACTTCGTTTTTTTATCTTGCTCAGGCAGTCACACAGCAGAAAGTTGAACAGCGGAAATTAATATATACTCCTACAACTATAATTCAGAAATAAATCTAAATAAGCATAAGTTATAACTAGTTATTTCAACCAATAAGAATTTCACTTTGAACCCAACTGCAAGGGTATCACATTGGCACATGGACTCTCATGGAAAAAGCTTGTCTTGAATGGCAAGCCACAGTAACAGAAAGGTAACGAAATATGTAGGTGTTTGACACATGTTAAATTAAATATCAAGGAAAACAGGAATATGATAGAAACAGAGTAACATACGATGAAAATTGAGGAGCAGTGCTAGTAGGGAAATAATGAGGACCATTACCAATAGAGAAACCAATGTTACCCTCATGAGATATATTAACTGTTTTAGCTGTCAGAACTACCAAAAAGAGAGGTCACACTGTTGACTTACATACTTAGTTGTCCAAGCACATCCATGACCACCCAAAGAAGCCTTAATATGACTTCTCTAAACCATTTATTTAGACTCATATAACCAGATTAGTCAGCCCTTAACATATGGTCAGGCCAGAGATGACTTAAGAACCTAACCTAGGTCCAAGATATCATGGCTTTTCTCTTCTGACACAAGAATAATCAAGGTACCTAATCAGTTTCGTTTCATCGAAAATTAACTCATCACAAGTTCAGTGTGTGAAATTATAATTGCAAACATAACTAACTTTTCAGTCGTGCAGTTTAACGTGTATATATTCAGGGGTCAATTCAATCATCCACTACGAATTTCAGCAACCTATTATTTGGTTAATACTATGCAGTGACTTGAATTCAGCGATCAATTCGATAAACTGGTGCCAAATCGAGCAGTAATCTGACCTCCACTCGGAATCATCCCCATAGGACGAGTAGTAGTCGTTCCCGATGGCATCCTTGTCGACGCAATTGAACATGAGCGCGGCCAGCGACGCGAAGATCCCTGCAAATCCCCCACAGAAACCCATCAATTCCCGACCTCGGAGCCGCGACACGAATCACCAAAGCCTGGGGAAGCGGAAGGGGGATCTGGTTACCGGGCAGGTAGTGGATGAAGGAGACCTGGACGGCGCTGCAGACGACGGCGTCGACCCAGAACCACCAGCCGGCGCCGAAGAGCGCGCCGGCGACGCCCGGCCCGATGATCCCCCACAGCATCGCCAGGTTCTCCATGGCCGCACCAAACCCTCGCCTCCACCAACTCCGCGGAATCCCCTCGCTTCGTTGCTTCCTTCCTTCTCGCCTTTTCTTTTCTGCCGATTTCTTCTTCCCTTCTCTTCTCTTTTTGCGCCGAGAGGGGTTGGATAGGTTGTTGGGCTTTGACTCGGACTCTGTTCCTCCGCGCGTAATGTGATCTTCAGGATTGGTTAGTAGGGCCCATGGGGCCTCGCATGTTAATGGGCCTGATGGGCCAACAAGGGATGGAGCCACTCTCGGTGGTGTTCCCTGAAAAAAAAATCTGGGAGAGGAAGGAGGTTGGGAGGGAAGCGTGACCAGCAGGAAGAGGCGACAATGGCGCGAGGTGGCGCGTGGGCGGCGGCGGCGGTGGTGCTGTGGTGGATGGCGGCGGTCGCCGGGGCGGTGTGGCTGGAGATCGCGCCGTCGGGGACCAAGTGCGTGGCGGAGGAGATCCGGTCCAACGTCGTCGTCATCGGCGACTACTCTGTCCTCTACGAGCACCAGCAGGTCCATCCCACCGTCTCCGTCAAGGTAATTCATTTATGCCCATTTGTTTACATACTCCGCCCGAACGATCGGTCCATAAATGCAATGTGGTACTAGGTTATAAAAATGGAAGGATTTAACGTCCAACACCGTGAAATAAATGATGAGGGTTTGCCGCGGAAGAACGAATCATCCATCGGATTTATTTATAAACTTTTTTTTTCACATCATCAGAAGGGACAAAGCCCTCCCGTTTCCATTAAAAATGAGACCACCAGGTTCAGTAGTTATTACAAAAGTCCACCAGGTTCATTAGCAATTTGAAAGGAAAAACAGGGAATATAACACCAGCTTCAGTAGTTACTGGAAACATGGCAGGACTGCTGCCAATTTCGGAGTATATATTTGATCGGAAAAGGGGAACGACAATGAATCTACAGAGACTGGATTGATCTGTTAATGGAGTATTAGTTAAGTCATCGAGAGTAGAAACGGTCGGTAAAGTCCTAAGAAAATTGTAGCAAGTCATTGGTTGCTATTACCATCTGGAAAGTCACTGATTCATTGGGATATCTCTACATTGACCTGGGGCTCAAGAGCTGGTTGGTCGTACTGAAAAACATCGGTACTTTTATTCATTTTCAAAGATACTACATGTGATTATTTCACGTAGTGCGTGCACACCTAAAAAGAACAAGCTAGAAAATGTTTTGCTAGTGAAAATATATTAGGAAATTTCGAAACATTCTATATGATCGATAGTTTACCAAAGGTGAAAGGTGTGTTTTGCTTTCAACCAGGGCTCATTATCATCCTTCAACATTGAATTCACTAAAGAAAATACATAATGAAGCACAACGATGATTATTTTTTTCCTAGTGCCTTATCAATTTTTCTGTTAATCTGGAGTTTTTACACAGACTTTGAATTATATGTGCTGTTTCAAGATATTTCTGTTTGATTATAGTTTCATCTTGTATCGATGAAAAGAGTTGATAGTTCAAAATTTTCCTTTTCTTTCATGTTCCATATCAAAAAGACGTTGGCTAAAAGGGGGAAAGATCCCTCCTTTAACTGTCCACTGTTGGGTAGAAGTGAGACCTCTCCGCAAATTAACGCGGGTAGCACTCCATCGGAGTCCGCATAGCGGACTCCGACACGGGTGGGTGGGTTCAGCACCTTGAATTCCAGCCACTAAGCTAGCGCTCAGTTCTCAAGCATGTTTCATGTCATGCCTTACAATCACATGGTTTTGATGTTTTGGTGCTTTACTGAAGGAAACAGAATATCATAAATAGAGACAATCTGCACTATTTAATTCAGTCTGAGTCATGACTAGGAATAGGAAGAACTAATAAGGACTTGGGAATTGGCAGGCATTGGAATTATAATCCACCTTCTACTGTTCTATTAGCTGCAACTTTAGTTCGATAGTTCTTCACATGATATTCATTTTCTCTTGTAATTTCTTGGGACAGACTCCATTTTCTGCTTTCTTGACTCTCTTGTATCCGTTTTGATGTACAATATTCTTGCAGATTACATCCCCTTTTGGGGACACCATACACAAGAAAGATAAGGTTACGGTGGACCAGTTTGCATTTACCACATCAGAAGCAGGAAATTACTTAGCTTGCTTTACAGTTGACGGTGATAACAAGGGTTTGGTGGTGAAACTAAATCTTGACTGGAAAATTGGTATCGCGGCAAAAGATTGGGATGCTATTGCTAAAAAGGAAAAGATTGAGGTGAAGTACATGAAATTATGATGGCATACCCATCATTTTTCAATTTCATTGTTTTCCTCGTTTGGATGACAGTGACTTTCCTGAATAGGGAGTTGCACTAGAGTTGTTTAAGCTTGATGAATCTGTCCAAACAATCTATGAAAATCTGCTCGTGCTGAGGACCAAGTAAGTCAATGCACTTCTCCGATCGTGTTTCATCAATTTTGTTGATACCAAAAGGCGTAACTATTCTGTTTAATAATATTGTTCTTAATGCAGAGAATCCGACATGAGAGATGTCAGTGAGCTGACGAATGCTAGGGTCTTATGGTTGAGCATGATGTCGCTCGGTGTTTGCATTTGTGTTTCAATTATGCAGCTGGTGCATCTAAAACGGTACTTCCGAAAGAAGAAGCTCATCTGAGATTATATACTCCTCTGCAGCATACATACATTCTATGTTCTGTTTAGTACTAGCTGAAATATAATAATTTTGCCACAATGGATGTTAAGCAATTATGTAACAGATGAATGATAACATGTTCTCGCCTAATCCCAAGTTCAGATAAGATGGTACTGCTGCCACTCTTCATGTTCAACTTACCACTATTACAAAACAAAATGCAAGTACCAATTTTATGATGCTACTGGGCACTGGCCCCCTTGCCATAACCAAAGAAACTCTCTGTAATCACTCTGTGGTAAGCTTTCATGGATGAAATCTGCAAGGTTCTTTCCGAAGTTACTCTTGAACGCCAACTTGATCTCGTTTATGCCGACGTCGCCGCTGCCCAAGATAGCCCTCGTAACCAACCTTTTATCGGCTTCTGGGCGTTGCATGCTTCTCTGCAGTAACTGACAAGGCCAAGAACAGAAGAATGAGTTAGGGACCAGCGATGTACTAGTACAAATTCAAGTACAGGACTGCTTGCTTTTCTGTTATTCACCTTGCAGTAATACTTGGAAGGAGTGTAGATGCACTTGACAACAACTCTCAGAGACTCTTCAAAATCACGAGCCAAATTCTTCTTCAGTGCCTGCATGCATACACATTCATGATTGATTGGCCAAGAGATTCATCAGTGTTCTGTCAAGTGGAGATCATCAGGCCAACCAGGCAGGCCATTGAGTTTGCTTACTTTGGTGAAGTCATGCCCATATATGTGCTTGTAACTGCAGAGCGCCAGCCTGAGCTGTGGGATGCTCCTCTTGCTGAACATCTCGAGGACGGCGGCCTCGTCGACCGATCCCGTGCCGCCGCCGTTCTTGGCGTCGTACAATCGCCTGGCGTCGCATTTCGCGATGTGCTGGCTGGGTTCATCGTGGTGCGACTTGTGGGAGGTTGCCAGAGCTATCAATAGCTGCTCAGACCACGATAGGAAGGAGTGAGCTACCTTTGCTAAGTAGAGGTGGAAGACAAATGACTGAAACCAGAACGAGAAGCAGGAGGTGGACAGACATACTCTCTGATAAGGGTGCGAGGGGTCGGTGACCATGTCCTGCTCCAGGTTCTTCTTGAACCTGGCCAGGTACGCCTGCTTGGTGAAAAAGAGCTGGTCCTGCTTCCGCCGCGTGAAGACCTCGACAAGGGCGCGGTAATCGGCCGCCGCGCCGCTCTCGATGGCGTCCCTCGCCATGATCGCGTCTCGCTCCGCCAGGTCAAGCATCCACAGGTAGAGCAGATTGCAGAGCTGGAGAGGGAGGCCATGCTGAGACTGAAAGCAGAGTACGTTGGTTGAGACGCTCTGCCTACCTGTTATGCCCTTTGTTTATCTTATTACCTCGTTGTTCTGATTGGCCGTGAGGGTTTTATGGAGCCTGCCGGCGAGGTCCTCGCCGAACATTGCGCGGTACGTCGCCTTGATCTGCTGCCTCTCCGATGTGCTCCGGCGAGCCAGGAGGCGGCTCAGGCGGCGCGGCTCGTCGCAGGCGCCATGGATCTCTCTGCACTCGTTTTCGAACCCTGTGGCGGCAGGAGAACGGGCGGCCATGCTCGGCACTTCAGCGCCGTGCTGAGGCTTTCGATGTGTGAACCAGTGCAGAGATGCATAAGGGAGAGAGGGAGAGAGAGCCATGTTGTTCTTGGCTTCCTTTTAATGAAGGAGGGGAGGAGAAAGGAAGAAAGTTATCTCGAATTGGCCAGAAAAGGGAGCAATGGAGAGGAAAGGGGAGGGAAATGTGTGTCCTACTCAGCATCGGTTTTGAGTGCAGGGGCAGGATTTTCAGTGATCATGGGGATATTGACTTTAAGGCCTTTTTAGCTTCGATGGAGTGTGAATTATTATTAAATCAGTCACCCTGAAGTCATGTCCTATGATGGCAAAGTACTAAGCATTCCTGAAGGAAGGAATAAGAAAGGAAGAAAGTTATCTGAATTTAGTCAGAAAAGTAAGCGATGGAAAGGAAACCAGGAGGCAAATGTGTTGCCCTACTCAGCATTGTGGTTTTGAGTGCAGTGAGAGGGTTTTCGGCGCTCATGAGGATCTTGACTTTTAAGCCCTTCTTAGCTTCTAGGGAATGCAGGTAATTAAACCAATCTGAACCTAGGCCATATGGTGATCCAATTAATTAGTGTGTAATGCTCTTAGTCCAACTTGGTCTGGGACAAAGACTACATTGTAGGATGAAGTACAAATTTCCGTGGTGAACAATTATCTGGCTGGAGATGCTCAATGGGATAGGATTACGTGCATGTGTTTATAGGTATGTGTGTGTGCGCGCGTGTTGTGAGCGTCTACGTATGTGCTTTGATTCTCAGAAAGAATAAGCCGGAAGTTTGCATACAATTTTTCATTTTTTACGACACAAAAGCAGACCTTTTGTTTTCTCCTTGGACAGTTGCAGTTCATAAAGAAAAGCAAACAGGGAGAACCAAGTGCGAAGTAGTGCACTACTCCAGTCCAGGATGTGGAGGGAGCAAAGGGCAGGCCGGTTAAGTGGTTGACAGCAGAAAAGATCCTACCGTGCCAAATTGAGTAAGACGTGGTAGATGGAGATGCCGTAAAGTTGGCTTGGCGCGCAAAGGTTTTTCAGAGAAAAAGGAAGACGCTCATGAAGAGAGATAGGATGGCGCTGCCTTTGCTTGCTGCTCAACATAATTCGCCGACGGTGAGGTGACGGGACTGAGCATTCCGGTGGCACCCATACATACCCATGGCATTCGTGGACGGGACTCCCACCCGGTGGGCGCTGACTCGGAACCCCTCGCTCTCGCTGCTTTTCGCTCTGTTCTTTTGCTCTTGGCCGAATTTTCGTGTCCTCATCACGGAACTGGGACGGGCCACCTCTTTCCAGCTCCAAGTCGGCGCGCCACGTTCATTTTTTTTTGTTTGTTTCTTCGGAAAGCACGACCCACCTTATAGGAACACTGGAGGCTGGACTGGAGGGTGTCACGGTTTGCATATTTTGCCGCCGTGGCCACGAGTGCATCCCGAGTGCAGAGTGTGGTGCTTTCTGTCTCATGGTCACCATGACCACGATTTTTTGTTCAAATTGATGAAAAAGACCACCTTTAAAAAATTGACAAAAAAAAACCCAGCTAGACCGTGGTGGCAGACGCGCCGGCCGACAAGTGGCACCTGCCGCCACGGGGGAGGCGGCAGGTCCTGCCGCCACTACAGCAAGCGGCAGCCCTGGAATTACCGAAGACTAGGCGAGACCAACTACTGCAACGGAATTCGATGGGCTGGTGGGCCCTGCCGACACACACCGTGGTGGCACGTCTCCAGCAGCAGCTCGACTGTGTCTCTCTGCTCTCTGTTTTACTTGGTGTTAGCAAGTGTGAAAATATGCAAGTTTGACTGGAATTTAAACCAATTTGAAGGCTGATTTTGAAGATGTTGCAGTTGAAGAAAAGATAGATTCAGATGAGATCTATTCAATTTTATGTTTTTCGCTTACATGCACGATTGTTTCATACTTTCCAAATGCTCCAAAACACTCCCCAAAATATTATCAAATGCCTAATACAACAGAGAATACGAAACCACCGTGCATGTGAGCGAAAATACAAAAGTGGATACATCTTACCTTGGTCTATTTTTTCTTCAACTTTAAATTGATTCAAATCTCAGTTAAACGTGCCTATTTCACGCTAGCTAACAACACAGGAAGAACAAATAATAGAACGAGAGAGATGGTTGCTGCTAGTGTAGACCTGCCGCCACATTGTGTGGCGGCAGGGCCCATCAACCCCAGGCTCTTCCGTTGCAGCAGCTGGCCTCGCCGGACTTCCAGTAATTTCGGGGTTGCCGCCTGGTGTTGTGGCGGCACGTTCTGTGGCGGAAGGTGCCATGTGTCTGCTCGCGCGCCTGCTGCCACGGGCTAGCTGGTCTCTTTTGTCAAAAAAATTCAGAGGTAGTCTTTTTTGTCAATTCGACTCGGCAGATGGTCCTTTTGGACAAAAAATCCACGACCACAGGACGAGAGGATGTCCTATTGTCGTGGCGGCGTGGGGAGGGGTGGTTCCTTGATTGCGGAAAAACGGGATGTGCCGGTGCTCATCTGCTCCTCCGCGACACGATTTTTTTGTCCAAAAGGACCTGCTGCCCAACGCTATTGCCAAAAAGGACTACCTGTGGATATAATTGATAAAAGGACCCCCTCGGCCGTGGCGGCAGGCGCGAGAGGTGACAGTGGCACCTGCCGCCACGCCAGGAGGCGGCCGCCCGGGTAAAACGGGTTTTTTAGAGTGGCTCGAGCTGGGACGAAACGGCCAGGGCAGGCGGGCCCTGCCGCCACCGCACGAGGCGGCCATCGCTGGTTCTGCCGCTCACAGGCCGACAGGTCCTACTGCACATGGGCCCAGCTGGTGGGCCTCGCTGCCACCGCAGTAGGCGGCCTCGCTGTTGCTGCTACACGTGCGACAGCGTCCCTGTTGCGGATGGCGTTGATTCCCACCCGCGGACAAGGATGATTTTCACGGGCAGGAATCCGCTGCCATGACGATGCTGATGCCCTGCTGCTGCCCGGGAATCACTCCCGCTTTTGCTTCTTTTGCCTCAGCGGATGCGACGACACTGCATGAATCACTCACTCGCTGCAGGAATCCGAGGCTGCGGGAACCTGTTGTGCCGACACTACAGGGATCCTATTCCTTTTATATAGTATGCTTCTGCTTCGTGCGCAAGCACACTGTCTCTGGCCTCCTCTTCTACTCTCTGAGTGTGTAAGAACAGAGAGAAAGAAAAACTCACTAGGCACTTTGACTCGTGATTTAGGGCAATTTAGAGTTGGATTTTCAATATGCCGAAGTTGAAGAAAAGATAGACGAAGGTAAGATCTATCCATTTTTGTTGGTTTCGTTTGCATGCATGATATGTTTACTCTTTTTGTTTAGTTCATAACTATGTGTTCTCTGTTGTGTTAGGCATTATTTCATCACTTTTTGGAGTGATTTAGAGCTTCGGGAGTAGGATTTGCCTAGCTAAGTGAACTATGAAGTTGAAGATCAAGGTATGAGCTTTGCAATACATTGATTTTTTTGTGCATGCAGGGTGGTAATTGTTGGGGAACATAGCATGCAATTTCAAAAAAAATCCTACGATCACGCAAGATCTATCTAGGAGATGCATAGCAATGAGAGGGGGAGAGTGTGTCCACGTACCCTCGTAGACCGAAAGAGGAACAACGCAGTTGATGTAGTCGAACGTCTTCACGATCCAACCGATCCAAGTACCAAACGTACGGCACCTCCGTGTTCAGCACACGTTCTGCTCGATGACGTCCCTCGCACTCTTGATCCAGTAGAGGGTCGAGGGAGAGTTTCGTCAGCATGACGGCGTGGTGATGGTGTTGATGATGTGATCCGCGCAGGGCTTCACCTAAGCACTATGATGCTATGACCGGAGGAATAAACTATGGAAGGGGGCACCGCACATGACTAAGAGAAATCTTGTGTTCCATTAGGGTGCCCCCCGCCCCTGTATATAAAGGGGGAGAGGGAGGAGGCCGACGGCCTAGAGGGGGCGCGCCAAGGGGGAGTCCAACTAGGATTCCCAATCCTAGTTGGTCTCCCTTTCCTATTCCAAGAAGGGAAAAGAGGGAAGGAGAGGGAGAGGGAGAGGGAAAGAGGGGCCCCCGTGCCCTCCCCCTTGTCCAATT